CAAACCAAACCAAACCAAACCAAACCAAACCAAACCAAACCAAACGAAGAAAAAAAGAAAGAAAGAGCAAACAAACAAAGAACGAACGACTATTCTTTCTTGTTTTTGTTTTTCTTCAGTTTCTTTTTTAATTAGATGAATTTTCTTTTTTTAAAGAAATTGGAATGCGAAAATAAAATACATGGTCTAGAGGAAGAGGTATTACGTCTGCAGAAGGAAAGAAAGTAAGAAGATTTAGCGAAATTTTGATTTTTTTTTTTCTTATTCGCCTTTATTTCGATTTTTGCCATTTTTAAATATCCTTTATCAGTGACAATGTTGCATCGGCGAGTTTCTGAAACCCATTATTATTTTGATTCATCGTTAATTCACTTTTTTGCCATTTGCAAAGATCTTTTATCGATGACAATGTGGCTTTGAAGAAAAAAGTGGCTAATCTCGAACGACAACTCGAAGCAGCATCGCGGGAAATCGAAGATCGAATCGAAGAGTGTGAGAATTTGAAAATGGAACTAGTGGAGAAGGAAAACCGTCCAGCTGGATCGCCGGTCAGCAAGTCTCCTACGTTCACCAAGAGACTCGTGGAAGATACTTCTGACAAGTTGATTAAGCAACAGGTATAGGATATATGGAAGAGATTAATGCGTTGGACTGAGAGTGGGACAGTGACTGGAAGGGGATGAAATAGGGATGAAAGGGAAATGTAAGAGAGAAAGGGAACGTAAAGGTTTCGTTGAATGTCACTCAAGTCCTTTCCATGACATTTCACTCTACAGGCACGTGCTCTTGACAACTTTATGTAGTCGACAATATGTCATGCAAACACTTCAACTAACGTCCACCAAAATCTTATTTTGTCGCGACAGCAAATTGAAAGATTTCGCGCGTGTGATTGAGAAGCGCTGTAATTTTTACTCGTTTATTTATTTGGAACTGTTTTTTTTTTTCCAGGCAAAAGATATCGACATGTATGACCAACAACTGAAAAAAATCGCTCAAAAAATCCTAAGCCCCTCCAAACAACCGAAATCCGGTCCATCCCCTCTTCGTAAAGAGAGTCAGGCAACACAAACTTTAGAAGTGTCCCGCACTGCCGACTTCAGCTCCTTTGTAGACTTCGATAACGAAGGCGATGAAGACGGGATATGTGAAGTGGATGCAAGAGGAAGGGTTGGAGAGAATAGCACAAGTGTTAAACTAGACACTTCGAAGAAATTCCAAACGCCTCGAGGGAAAAAGGGCGGCGTTGGTGTGAAGAAGACGCCGGTTAAAGGCGAATGGGCTAGCATGAAGCAGAGAATCCTTAGTCTAACACAGCAGGTAATACGTTAAGGAAGTTTGAATTTGATTGCCTGGTATTAAGAAAGAAAATTGTCTGCGCATGCTCACATGGATGTATGTAAATTTGTATTCAAAACGGCTTTATGGTAATACAAGAATATGCAAATTTGAACATTCAAACTTACTGACAAATACAATTTGTAAATCTTGCCCGTCATTTGCTATCGAGCAGAGAGCATCCTATCTCTAGTATCCGACAAAGTGAATTTCATAATAGGTCACTTGCATTATAACGTCATTTACTTCCACTACCAGGTTCCTTTGCAAACTTTCTTTTGTTCAGTTAATTAGCACCGATTGTCTTTCTATTCTCGCGAGGAAATTCCATTTGAACAAGGAAGAAAAGAAGCATTTTGGTAGTGGTAGTAAAATGACGCTACTCGTCATGCAAACGGCCTACTAGCCCGTCATCTGCTATCAAGCAGAGAGTATCCTATCTCTAGTATCCAACAAAGTGAAATTTATAATTCTCTTTACCAATTAGTAACCAAAAGTTCTCCATGATTTGACCTTATTTTATTTATTTATTTTTTACAAGGAAGTGGCTTCATATAAAGAATAGGGTTTTTTTGGATTATATATAGGTCGCAGCATTACGTAACGCCAAGGACAAGGCAGTCAAAGCTTTGAACGAAGAAAAGACGACCAGCGAAAATCTGCGGTCTGAATTCAACACAGTTCTTCAACGACTTCAAGTTAGCAAGAACACCATTCAGGTTGACTATGTGTACCCTGAGTTCCAGAAGCTATTTACTCTCACCCTGGCTCTTGCTGCCTAAACCTGATGATGCAAAACCTCTGTAGATCCTATTAGCTTGGGTGTAATGTTTTCCCATTTCAGATCACGTGTCGTTCCCTAGAGTATCATTTCTTTATTTAACGGTTGTGCATGAGAAGACACATGAATATTATATGGGCACTACTCAAACAATGAATCTTATTCTCAAGGGAAGGACACGTGGTCTGAAATGTAAAAATATTTAGCTCAAACTAAAAGGGGCTATCAGAATCTCTAGATTCCAGTACAGATGAATGGTGTTTACGAATCGATTCTGGGTTTTTAAGTACAAGGGTTTTATTTGCAGACGTTGAATGAGGACTTGAGGAAGTGTATGAAAGAAAAAGAGGAGTTGAAGGCTGAGGAGCAAAATGTGATCCAACAGGATAATGATGCTGAGATCGTTAGACGAAAGCAAGAGGAGAAGCTTAAGGTATTGAAGATTTTTTGGGATTTGTTAGTCTTAACAGCCAGTATTCATCATCATCATCATCACTATTATCATCATCAGCAGCAGCAGCACATCATCATCATCAGCACATCATCATCATCAGCAGCACATCATCATTACCATCATCATCAAATGTTTCTCATTTAGCATCAGCAGCACGATCATCATGTTATTGTCATCACTAGTATTATACTAGTATTATCATCATTTCCCCCATCATCGTCATAACTATCGTCATTATCATCATCATCATCACCACATGTTTAACTAAATAACAATGTTTACCTCGTCAGGTATCAAGCAATGAAGTATCTCGTCTTACTTGCATCATTAAAACTTTACGCAACGAGAATAAAGAATTAAAAGAAAAATTATCTGACACACAAGAAAGGTAAGTAATTGCCAGACAAATAACGAAATATTCGAAAACTTTAAGGTTCTTAGTTTTTAACATTTGCGCTATTGCGTTTCAGACTCAGTAGAATAGAAAAGGACCTTGCACAGAAAAAGACATTCGTTGAAGAAATGAAAAACAAGTTAAGAAAGACGCAAGACACGGAAGAAAGATACGCAGACACGGTGGTAAGGGTTCTAGTTGATAGATGACTATAACGATTAGAAAAGAGTGATCCAATGGAGCACGGCAAATGCACGCACGTGCGCAAGTTGATGACTCACGGGAGTAGGGTAAGGCGAAATTTAAACTGCATCCGGTTACTAAAAATAGCCCAACTGGGAATTTCGTGGCGCGCGCGTTATTAAGAAGTTTCTCTCTCTTATTTATGCTCTTTTGGGTTAGAACTATATTTTATTAACATGGTTGCATCAACCTTATTTAGAGAGACCTTGAAGAAAAGATTCGACGTTTGTTCGATCGAGAAACACAGAAGAAACTCCAGGTACTTTAACCGCAGTTATTTATTATTCCTGGGAAATATTTACATGTAATATCATTAACTAAAATTATTGCTTGCTGCTGTATAGATCGATAGTCTAAAGCGTCAGCTTGAAGCCGAGACGAGAGAAAAAGAAAAATTCCAACAGCAGTATTACCTGTCCCAAGAGGAAGTCAAGAAAAAGGTATATACATTTTTATTTTACAGTTGTTTTTGTGAGAAAGTCACATTTTAAAGGCGATATCTTAGATATTTCTAAAATTTGTATCGTTTTGCAGATGCGTCTGTTGTCCGATACCCAGTCTCTACGCAGCCAGGCTGAAAAGGCGGTAACCGAGATGGAAGCAGCTGCGACACAGCAACTCCAAGGACTGGCTAATAAGAGTGAGATGGCTATCAACTCGATACGCACTAAACTGGACAGAGCAAATGACATGATAGAGGAATTCCAGGCCTTGATTAAGGTAAATAAAGAAGGATTCCTTTGAGAGAGAAAAAATTGATATGGTAGTTCTTGAAACATTTTGAAACCAATTTTGCCTTTGGGGGGGGGGGGGGGCATTTTCAAAACATATGCAATTCGAACGTATCACGTGACTACATAGATGTTTTGGTTTCTATAGCGTGAGGATGGGGAAGAGGGGCCAAGATGGCTACACCCCTGATTATGTCAACCAGCATGGCCCAGTGACATAGTTTGCAAAATTATTTACTTGTTTCAGACGCTCGCAGACAAACTCCTAGCAGACATCGATAGAACACACTATAAAATACATGAGTTGGAGGAACAAGCAGAACAAGAAGAACTCAGTAAACCAGCCTCGAGGCAAGCACATGATCTGGCTTGCTCAATTCTCAACATGACGAGCAATGATCTTGATGACTTTATGAAAGAAGATGACAACAAGGTTCTGAATGAAATGATAAGATTATCTTCACTTGATAAGTTGTGTTCAACTTCTCTATGCAACATTTGTATATTTTTATACCATTTGTATTAATTGATTTTTTTTACAATTAAATTTACTCTGATAATCAATTTTGATTTCCTGTAATTTGGTTCCAGAGTGAAGAAACAGCTGCAAGAAAAAAGAAAGGAAATGAATGGAGGAATAAGATAGATTCCATAATGAGAAAAGAGGTAAAAAATAGTTAAAATTGATATAATATTTTTTACTTATTTTAAACATTTCTTTTTTTCTTATTAGTTTTTCATAATATTTTTTAGGTCTCTTTTGCAGTCCCTTTGTTGGAAATTCTTTTGCAAATCATAGAGGGAAGAAAGTCCCTGGAAGGACGACTTATTCAGTTGACAAACAGCAGTCAGAGATAATATATATACATATTAACAAACTAATTTTATAAATAGTTAAATTATTTTTTATTTCATAAATGTAAATATTTAAGTATTAAATAGCTTGCCCTTGATTCATTTTTTTTTTTTTCCCCAACCATTTACTTCCTTGCATCAATCTGCCACATTAGCATCCATCTTATCCATCTTATCCATCTTATCCATCCATCCATCCATCCATCCATCCATCCATCCATCCA